GATTGTAACAACAGTCTGACATGTTAGTTTAAGCCATTTTGTCACTCATACATAGGAGTTAAAGAAAACAGAAACCAGGCGCAGCAATTCATTGCGACGCGCCAATGCACCTTATGCCAATCAACATAAATGATGATGTTAGTGAGTTATAGCACACAGGTCCACTGCTCTCTGGCCAGACACCAGTGCTACAGAAGCTCTAGATCCATCTGATCTAGAGGCTCAAAAGACAGACCCGCAAGGCTGCTAATTTGTAGGTGATTAGTGGTTCTTGAATCACTCTTACTTGCCTTGGGAGACACATCCAGGAGCTGCTGCACCTGGCAAGGCAGGTGCCAGAGTCACACAAACTAATTCATCACAATAAGATGCAGATTCCCAGAGGACAGAGTGAAGAGCTTGGACATCTAAAAAAGCTCAGAGTAGAAGTAGTGCTCCTTCACATTGAAAGTGGCCAGATGAAGTTGCGTGGAAGTTGTGTGGATATCTTATCGTGGTACATCCTGGACACCTCCCTGTGGAAGTATTCCTGGCACATCCAACTGGATGACGACCCGGGACGGGGCAGATCCAGAACACCCACCTGGGATATATAGTCTCTGAATATGTAATATATAATTACTTGTCTTCTAAGGCAAATCCTGCTCACAATCAAGCACTGTAAGAACAAAGAAGCTGTATTGTTGTTTCCCTTTCCCGTGTGTGACAAGAATAGAGGTCCCAAGAGAGCACGGTGAGGTTTTTGTTTGTCTTGGCCAGGAAAACTGAACAGTACAGAGATCATTATAATAAGCAATGTTTATTGAGTGTGTTTTCTAACAGTAAACAATGTATTTTCTATTATTTCCAACCCTAGTTTGGAACCAAGCAAAGACCAGACGACTGTTTGCGAGACGAAAGATTTCTCCACCACAGGAAAGTGAGATTCCTGTAAGTCTTTGTTCTTTTTAAACTGTTTGTCACATAATGCCATTCACAAACTTTTCAGTAAGGCAGGCTTATTAATGCTTGAAATGAAGTGTTTGATTTGTGTTTGAATGTAAATTTTGCGGGAAACAGGCAGCATATGTTTTGTATTTGTTGTTCATGTGTGTGAAGGTTTCTGATATGGCGAGTTCCACAATCCAAATGTTCCCCTTACATTTTTCCTTAAGGGGTTGTTGAATGCAGCATGCTGAATTGGACCTGAGGAGTTGGGTGGAAACTGTCTGTGGGTTTGTCAAGCAACCCCTTTCCCGTTACACACAGTGATTTGGCCGATACTTGACTTTCGATTTTTTGGTCACGTTTCGAGCACATGCCAGAGAAAATAAAACATGAGCTCGCAGATTTGTCTGGTTCCCAGGATCTTTCTCTGTTAGACTATTGAGTCTTAAATTGTAAAGATCAACTGATCATTTGTTTTATGTCCAGACATTTATATTTTCAAATTATTCTTTAAAAAGATGCCTACATGGCATCAAGTGTGATATAACCGCCATATTTTGGGGGGTATGTACCACACAAAGGCCATATGATCAAATTTAAATAATATATGTTAAATCTTAAAAAAACAATAACTTATTTCACCATTCAATTGGGATCAAATGGTTCACACAAAAACAATAAGAAGAGTCACTAAATGGTAAAAGCAAAATTTACAACAACAACTTGACTTTCCTCGGCTGCAAAACGCCACCAGCCCAGGTCCCGCATTCACGGAAAAGTGCATGATATAAGGGGGCAGCCCTAACGTGGCTAGATTATGTAAAATGAGTAGACTGAACTATTACAGTTACTGAAAACTGAAAGGCCGTATGTTGTGTTTGCTGTCACAGAAGAGAAATAACAAGTCCCTGTTCATGAAATGTCACTATGTTTCAGAAATACAAGTCAAACCTTATGACCCCAGCACGTCGCTGCGGACGCCTAATGGAAAGCTGCTCCTCTCATCTGCCGTGCTGTGACCCCTGCGCCTCCTGCCGCTGTCGACTCTTCAACACCATCTGCCACTGCTGGAGGACAAACCCCCTGTGCCTAAAGAGGACATAGAGCACAAACACACACTTGCACAGCCCAGTACCTGGACATGTACATATATATACACAGAGAACACATTGTGTGTGGCACTTCAGTAAAGGAAGGTGCGATGGGAATGTAGGACTGAAGCCTACAATTAAAAATACAAACAGAAATGTTTACAGAATATGTAGGTTTAACAAAGGATGAGTGACATATGCTTTTTCATGTATGCAGACAATCACGTGTGTTGTGCCTCGGGTATTTCCCTCACTATTGCTGCTTTATATATTTTATGCTCTCTTGCCATATTAAACACGTGGGAACCCATCATAATTTACATTGGAACATAAAGGTTTTTTTTAAAACTCACTGCCCTGCAGACAAAATGTGGAAGAAATTCATGTTTTTAGTCATCGACAATTAAAAAGCTTATTTTTCTGTTCCAATGAAAAACATGCCTTGGTGAAGAGATATATATCTCCCAAATGGTGGAATTACCGATTTTTACAAATGTGTGGATTTATGAGTTAAAGTTATTTTATATTTTTGCTATTGAATAAATACATTATAAGCCCCATTATCTTTGTTTAATATTTTCCTTCTTGAGTGAATGTCCTAAAATGCTTAAATAAAGAACTACAAGTCACTTATATGTGAATTTAAGAGGAAACCATGTTTAATTAGGAAAATATGACACACAGGATCAAAACAAAGCAAAAATAATTTGGTTGTTTTGCAGATGTTTACTGGCAGCAATCCTGTGGATAAATGGGAACCTAACCTGCTTTGTATTTTCTTCTGGAGTGATTATGTGGATAGCCGAAAGATAATGAACACTGGGCCTATTTGTAGCGGGGACAAGTGTGTATGTTAGTCTGTGTGAATTCAAAAATAAAGCAGTCAAATAAAGTCTTAAATCCTATCCAGGCAATCTGTGGTCCACGTATTACTTTGTCTGATACACTGTCGCTTCTCTTCTGATGAAAAGTGAATATGAAGAAGGGTGTCTGATAGCAAATTGGCACACGCAATAAAATGTTACAGCAGGTGAAATGTTTTGATTGATTACCATTTTAGATCATAATATGTTCAATGTGTTCTCAAAAGCCATGAAGATAAAGGAGTTGAAGACCGCGAATAGTGTCTTGAACTGAAAAGAGCCTAAACAAGAAGAGTGTATTCAGTAGAGTGAACATTTTGTTGTAACACACCACACAAAATAAAATCTCTCCCTACCTCCCTCTCCCCTCCCAAACAAAGAAGAATTGAATCTTACTCAATTGTCCCTTCTGTCTCCCATGCTTTCAAGATGTCGGTAAAAAAAACAAAAGTGGGTTTCACCTTGTATCATGCCTAATTTTAGTGGATTATAATATATCAGTTATGGAATTAATATGCAGATGCTCTGCTCAAGATGAGACCGAACTTTTCTTTGGATGTCTTTGGTACACAATAAACGCCAAAACAACAGACTGGGTAAACTTTGTTTTTAGCAAAGCCCAATGCAAAGTTTCCCGGCCCACTCAATATGTGCAGTAATGTTTCCCGCTTGGCCCATGTTATTTTTTCCCCTGCAGATTTGCTACAACTCTCATTTGACGGACACCCTTAACTCCATCCTGTCTGTCACGCCCAGTTCTGGCAGTTCATTGTCCCTCTGTGTTCTAGTTTTCTTTTTCTCACCCTGTGTTTTGTTCCAGGCTCCCTCTGCTCTCATTCCCTGTCTACCTCCCCGTGTGTGATTACCTGCCCCGCCTTAATGTGTTCCACCTGTGCCTCATTGGCTCCCTTGTCTTTGTGTATAAATACCCTCTTAGTTTTCACATTAGCTGCCAGATCATCTTGTTTGAAAAATGTCTAGTTGAGGTCCAGCCATTTTCCTCAGCTTAGTGTCCCAGAGTATCTCCGCAGTGTGTTTGATCAGTGAACGTTTAGACTAAGATTCCTGCCTTAGTGTTTTTGGATACCTCTGCCTGTACTTCATCTTGTGCAATAAACCAGTCCAAACCTCTGCTGTGTGCCTGACACTATCCCTAATCTTAACCAGCCTAACCAACGGAGGAAACAACTAATAGCCAATCAGAGGTAGAGTTGTTGAAAATCTTGTGGAGAAAAATATAACACAGATTTTAAAATTGATTTTTTTCGGCTCGAGGAAACTTTTACAAATATGACACGTCGATGGATCAAAAATTCGTAATGGAAAGATAGATAATTCCTTTTGTTTGCAGTTTGAGGTGTCCTGCCAAAAGTTTTAAAAAAGTCTCTTTTCTAATGGTGCTTATGGGGAAAATGGTTTTGGTGGGCAGGGAAAATTTTGCTGCAAAACCGCAAATGGCAACTGGGCAAAATTGGAAGCAAGGTCTTATTATATATCTATGGCATATAGTCATAAATGTGCACAAAAGTGTTAGTCTGGTGGGTCCAGTAGTATGCAAGATTAGCTGCGGAACGCTACACACATACACACACATGACAAACATACATTTCAGCAATGTGCAACCCTTAAAAGATCTGATACCCTATGAGCCCACAGGAGCTGAAAACAAGTACTGTGTCTGATTATTTCAGACTAAGCTTAAATCAAAAACAGTCATGCATGTAGAGAGGAAGACATGGTCAGGTCAGCAATGGTGTAATATAAATTTGTCTGCAAGGAACATAATAAACCACATGATCCATCTTCTTCTGCCTTGACACAAATTCATTCCCACGCATGCAAAAAATGTACATACATTGTATGCTTCCTTCCTTTTTCTTCTGAGTGATGTCCAGCCAAAGAGCACTATGATTTACATACTTACACTGTTTTAAAAAAAGACAACTTTCTCTTTCTGGGTACAGAGCAAAGAGTAGAGATACCCCCCCTCAAAAAAAAAAAGAGTAATTAGCTGTATAGCCAGCCTGAATGTACTTGAGAGCAGGAACTGAGACAGTGAACACTTTTAGAGCAGCTATGGAATTTCTTGGTGTCAAAGAGGAAGGGAAAAAACTGCATGAATGTTAGTCAGAGAGGGAATGATACAGAAGTTAGACACACATTTGCACTGCACTTTAACGGCAGCCAGGCTTGCTGATAGTTCATTTGGCATCATGGCAGAGCTCAGTTTCAATGTGGATCATGGCTATCTGGAGGGTCTGGTTCGAGGAATGAAGGCCGGGATTCTGACCTGCGGTGACTATCACAATCTGGCCCAGTGTGACTCACTTGAGGGTAAGAATATTGTGTAATGCTGTGAATACAGCCATCCCAGAAAGGTATCTTACCTGCAGCTATACCTCTTTTAAAATTCTTGGGCATGTCTGCGTGTGTCTTCACCCTCTACCCCATTTTTTCAGAATTTTCTTTCCAGTTACCAGGTATTCCAATGCAATGTTGTGTAAGGGTTAAGCAGAGTATAAATTTTCAGAATTGTTCACACACTCCCACTCACCAGTTGTGTTAGTTTGTTGACAGTGTGGCAAATAGTTCTTGGAAAGAATCTTCGACACAATTCATGATTCTCAAAACAGGCTCAAAAATTGCATAATGTTATCATACACCATATGTGTTTGTATATAATCTGACAGTTAGTCATATCAGCTGTAACGTGTTTAACAAGTTGGTCAAAAGTGAGAAATACCCACGTGTTAATACTGTATTATGATTCACCCCTTCCTGTTTTTATTGTAACGGCAACCTAACAAAAAGAGACTGTGGAAAAAGAGGAGTTGAGTTCAAAACCCTTAGGCAATGTCTTTCCTCAGACATGAAACTACACCTGCAGAGCACAGACTACGGAAAGCTGCTGTCCTCATCTGAAGAGGACCTGACTGTGTCTTTGGTGGACAGCAAACTGAGGCAGAACCTGGTGACTGAATTCAGCTGCCTTCGCTCCAACGCCCTGCCTCCACTATCAGCCTTCCTTGACTATATAACGTATGCTATGACACTACATGCAGTAAATTTTAATCTCCAAAAGAAAACTTTGGTTGAGGAGCTTTATAATTTTTCTCTCTAGTGTAATGTACTCCATTACTTTCAAAGATAACTAATTTTACTAATTACTGTATGCACTCCCAGTTTAATAGTTTCTCGAAATAAATGCATATTTGTAGGGAAATACGTACTCATTAAGAGGGACGTAATATAACATGTCATGCAAATAAATAATATAGATCCATTTACTCTGTTCTCTGTGTTGCCATAGCTACAGCTACATGATCGACAATGTGGTGATGTTGATTACCGGGGCCCTGAAACAGAGAGACGTGGCAGAGCTCCTCCCGCGGTGTCACCCACTGGGAGCTTTTGACCAAATGGCAGCTGTGGGCATCGCTCATACCCCGACTGAGCTCTACTCAGCCATCCTGGTGGACACACCACTAGGTGGATTAATCAAATATGCTATGTTTGACTTACAAAGCTGAACTTTAATTTACTAAAACCCTTTCAGTCACAGAGTCACTAGAGATAATTAACCATCACCAGTGTACAGAGGAAATGGAAGATCTGAAGCATGGAAACCCATTTCCATGGAGTTATTTTAGTACCAGCACAAATTGAATCTGAATTTAATAGTTTTAAATTTCAAATGTTCAAACTAAATATTGTATGCTAAATATACACTTCCATATATAATACAATCTAATGGTTTGAAATTGAATTTGACTTGTATTGCTTTCAACTTGTATTATTTCAATTTCAGTTTGGAATTCAGGTTTCCTGACAAAAGTTATACTGTATTTGTATGTGTGATCTAGGCAGTCTTACTGCTCCTTTTGTTGCTGAGAAAAATGGCAGTTTGACTGCTTTTTGCACATTATGTCCTAACTCTTGATCGCTGACACACACACAGAGATATCACGTGATACCAACATTTTTATACTATTATATATATACTACAAGCCTTTTTAGAAGCGGGAACCAAACATCAGACATCTTATAAAGTTAAAACAAAACATTCATTTTGGACCAATAAAAAAAAAACATTTGCCGCACCTTTCCAAAAGCTCTGTGGATGTGTTCGTTTTTATTTTCTTATTATTGATCTACATAAAAATATTATCATTTAAACCTGTAAATTTAGATTCAGTTTGTGCCGGCACTAAAATAACTCCATACACTTACACTTAAAAAAGACAAAACACGAAACATGAAGATTTTAACTTAATATAAATCAAATTTTTGACTTGAAATTATTTTGCTTGTCTTGTGATTCAAAAAACTGTATAGTCACAGGTTTAGTAAGTAAACCTGTAAACATGCTAGCCAGCCGGCTTAGCGCTAGTAAGTCATATTAGCCTTCCAAGCTTCTTTATTTCTGTCCTAGGCTATTAACTCCCCTGCTCGTATTTTGTTCAGAGGATTGTACCCCATTTCAGTAAAGAGTAACTGAAAGAGGAAAAACACTCTCCAAGCTAGCTGTCAGTCAGAAACACAGCTAATAAGCTATGACTTTTACTCTCTCTGGTTCTCATTCAATGGTGCGAATTCATTGATCAGAATTCACTAATGTTGAACTCAGTGAGTGAAACCACCAAACAAACGCTATTATTCCATCAGAAATTCGTTTAAAAGCTGGTGTGACCTGGACTTTTTTAGTAAGTCAGAACTTTGTCCCACCATAAGTATTTTATTCATATAATTTATTTTTAAGTTCTGTAAGATAAAAAGTGATATGTGACACAGACCAATGTTCAAACTGATGCCCACTGTGTTGTTGTGTTATAGCTCAGTTTTTCCAGGATGCTGTATCTGAGTCCAACCTGGATGAGATGGAAGCAGAAATCCTTAGGAACAAACTGTATAAGGTGACTTAAGGGTGACATAAGACTTGAATGACTACTATAACTTACCATGAATGGTATTCATGTATGTTGTGTGTGTGCGCGCGCGTGTGTGTGAGAGAGTGTGTGTGTAGATTCTGGACAGTATGGTTTACTACTGTGTCATGTAACATGTTTAACAACTCCAGATGACATTTTACACATGTTGTACACAATGGTCTTTGGTTGAAGTCATGGTTTTAACCCATGTTATATCAGCAGACACTTCTGACCTTTATGTTGTTTCCTTCACAGGCATATTTAGAGTCTTTCCACTCTTTCTGCAAGAACATTGGTGGTGCCACAAAAGATGTAATGTGTCCTGTCCTGGAGGTACTGTAACAATTTCCAATGAATGGGCTGGAGTTGTTGAAGTTTCATGTTCTGTAAAACGTTTTGCTGAAAATGTGTGTGTGTTCTGCAGTTTGAGGCAGACAGGCGGGCCTTCATCATCACAGTGAACTCCTTCGGGACAGATCTCAGCAGTGCAGACAGGAGTGCACTGTATCCATCTTGTGGCAAACTTTACCCTGAAGGGCTGCGACTGCTGGCCAAGGCAGACGACCACGAGCAGGTCAAAGCTGTGGCCGACTGTTACCCAGTGAGTCTGAACTCATCTCCAAAGACTCTTTACTGAGAGCTGTTGGGTTGTTACTGCTGTTAACTTAAGTCAGACATTTGGTTAACTTAAACCTAAACCTTTCTGCAGGTGTACAAAATAATTTTTGATGACCCTGAGCCAGGATCAGATTTTAAGACTCTGGAGGACAGATTCTTTGAACAAGAGGTAATATAACTTACATGTTCTTCAGTAACAGTGTAGTGTTCTTTAAACTGATGAGGCCTTCAGATGATTTCTGTTAAACCTTTCAAGTAGAAAAAATATTTGGACCAAGCACGACATTTCACACTTCTGCTTTTCAAGTGTGGGAATTCAATTTTGCAACAAGTACTCTGGCAAATCGACATGTGGGTGGATTTTTTACCCCTTCATTTTTGCTAAGTTGAAACACAATGGGGCTCGTGATGGAGGTGGGTAAGAGACAGGCCTTTGGGTGTGGCAGACTTTTATTTCCACTGCGACACATCACCAATGTGTCCCTGAGCGAGACACTTAACCTCTAGTTGCTCCAGAGGCATGCAACCTGTCATATATAGCAATTGTAAAATCGCTTTAGATAAAAGTGTCAGCTAAATGAATAAATGTAAATGAATGTAATGAAAGCTGCAACCAGGAAAATAATATTCTCAACTTAATTCTTGTATATCTTAATTGTACATAAACCTGTCTTTCTATATTGTCTGAGCAGCTTCAACTCTCCTCCTTTATGTTTTCTCAGGTGAAGCTGAACACACTTGCACTCCTGCAGCAATTCCACTTCGGAGTATTTTACTCCTACATCAAACTGAAGGAGCAGGAGAGTCGCAACATTGTCTGGATCTCTGAGTGTGTCACACAGAGACAGAAGTCCAAGATACACAACTACATACCCATCTTCCAGGGAACAAATAAATGAGCAATAAAGAGAAATACATACATGTAAAAATATGTTGATTTCTTTATGATCTATGTTTGGTTGTGAGGATTAGTTAATGTGGTTGCACTAAAGTCAGTCAAATATACAGTAAAATTCAAAAATGAGGCCTCTACTCGCTATAGTTAGTATGTTCACATTCACATTACTGGCACAATATCTGCATGTCTAAACAGGAATAAAATGTACATTACAGGTTGTATAATAATGTGTAACTATACAATGTAGTACTGTATTTTACAAAACATAAGTATATTAGTAATGTAGCACAAACAGTGGTATAAAAGTGTCAAAAATCGCCCATCTTTGCTCTTCCTTAACTTGTCCTTCCTTTATACTTTCACTGAAATAAAAAAGAAAAACAACAATAATTTAAAACATCTGGCACATCATATCAGCACCATACTGTGGATCAGACACAGCATGACATATGTCTTGGTTGTATAATGGTCTTACAGCACTGAACAGGGACCTCCAGAGGTATGTAGTTCTGCTGGCATAGATGAACAAAAGCAGATGTCAATCTGCAGGGGGCTCTGGAGGAGCTCAACTCACACACCGACAAGAACTGACCGGGATCCACCTGGCGACACAGACAGAAATATGAAGTTTCACACTGAGCTGCTGCAGAGAGTCCTGAGTTCAATTTCCTTTCCTTAATTCCATGGTCATGTCAGTCAGCCCTATAGTCCAACAATTTGCTTTTCACCAAACTTAAGTAACAGTTTAATATACCTATTTTAGATGGAAGAATGCACACTTATTTTGCAGTAACCTATTTCTAGTTAATAATTATTAGAGCTGGGTACATTAATGCGTTATTATCACGTTAACGCATTAATTAATTAACGCCGACAATTTGCCTATATTATAGGCTACATAACTTTACCTTATAGGCCTACATCTAGTTCCCTTTCAAGGGAACTCGCTATGCATCGATAACGCTTTGGGAACGCCCCCAGCGTGAATGCGTCTGAAGCATCTATGTCAACTAGCCCAATGGAAGGAATGAACGTCACAGGCAGGTGACTTCATGACCAGGAAGAGATAAAAGCGCATTCGGTGCAAGCTGGTGTCGTGCCGAAAAGTGATCGTCTGCCAAAAACTGATGTTTGGTAGGCCTATGTGTAATATCTTTGTTTATATTTGGAAAACGGGCTGTAGCCTAATTAACATGACTTACTGCCAACTTGCAATTATCCTTGTGACTCTGCATTATTTTACTTGCTGTGTTGGCCTCCCAACCAATCCATTCATTTTACCTGTTATAATACCTTTAAATGGCCAATACAACTCTTAAAATGCAGTATTTCACTTGCCAGAAAATGATTGAAGCCTTTTGTTATTGACTGAGAGGTTATTTCTGCCCTGAAATTAGTTGATTTCATTCAGAAGAGTTATATTTGACAGATTATAGCTCATCTGGTACTTTTTTACCTCTTAAAATACCTTTAAATGGCCAATACAACCCAAAAAATGCAGTAGGCTATTTCACTTGCCAGAAAGCGATTGAAGAAACTGGGCAATACAGCTCCAGCAGACGGCAATCAGTTTTCACACTTTCGACACTGGCATTAGCTTCTGTTGCCTCAGCAAGCAATCTGTGTACTACTGTCCTGTCTATTTATTGTTGTCTGTTACTATTGGAAAAGTATTTATTATGGCGAAACAAATGTACAAGCAGTGTGCTTCTCCCTGCCCACGTTATTTAACGGGTGGTGATACACACGAGCTTTGTGTCATTTCTTTGAGTGGAGCATGCGGTTTCAGCCTTTGAGGGGGCTGAATGCCGGCATTGCGAGATGTTACCGCTTCGCGTGCTTCGCTCCCGCCTGTCACTATTCGATGAGAGTGGCCAGGCTCGCGATCCTCAGGGTGCAGGACCTGCTGTTGCTGAGGAAACACGGAGAATGCATTCCTGGGGATCGCAAAAGGATCTTTCAGAGGGGTTGGAGACGGGTCCGAGGGCCTTTTCTCCTTCCTTACCTGAAAGATCCAGTGCTCTCCCCCCAGTATCGGAAGCCCGCTCTGCAGCTTCTTCTGCCCGGGGAGAGAGCTCGCCTATGCTTCAGTGCACTTTCTCCGAGGAGGTTGACAGGAGTGAGGGGGTTGGGCCTGATGAAGTTCGCGAACTTCGTCGGGCCACAGATCTGTTTCTTAGGGCTACAAAGGAGACCGCTAGAGCAATTGGGCAGTCTATGGCAGCCCTTGTAGCCACTGAGAGGCATTTATGGTTGAACCTCGCTGAAATTAGAGAGAAAGATAAATCGTTTCTTCTTGATGCTCCAGTTGATCCTTCTGGTCTCTTCGGCGATGCAGTAGACGCGGCTGTCGACAGATTCCAGGAGGCTAAGAAACATTCTGAGGCATTAAAAAAATTTCTCCCTCGCCGTGTCCAGCCCCCTGGGACTGCTGAGTGTGAGCAGTCCCAGCCGTCAGGCTCCTCATATTGTGTGCAACAGAAGGAGAGTGTTGCGTCAGGCGCAATGTCGACATTGCGTCAGACATGAACTCTCTGAGGGGGGTTCAAAAGCAGTCAGTTCGGGTAGAGTGCCTCACTTACACCAGAGGCCAGCCTCGAGAGGCTGGTTCCCTTAGTAGATTTTCTGTCAGAATGGAAAAAACTTCCAAATATATCTCAGTGGATCCTGCATATAATAGAGAAAGGATACAGAATCCAGTTTGGTTCTCGTCCTCCTCGATTCAATGGGGTGTTGCTGAATGAAGCAAGAGGTAAAGGCCCTGTTAGTGAAGGAAGCTACAGAATAGGTGTACTCACCCGACCGAGAGTCGGGTTTTTACAGCCGTTATTTCATTGTTCCAAAGAAGGATGGAGGGTTATGTCCCATTTTAGATCTTCGTCTGTTGAATCGTTCAGTACAGAAACTCAAGTTCAAGATGCTAACACTCAAACAGATCGTGACTAAAATCAGATCCGAGGACTGGCTTGTCACGATAGATCTGAAAGATGCTTACTTCCATGTCTCCATCCTCCCTCAGCACAGGAGGTTCCTGAGGTTTTCTTTCGGGGGCAAAGAATTCCTGTATCGGGTACTTCCTTTCGGTCTAGCTTTATCACCCCGCATGTTCAAGAAATGCGTAGATGCAGCTCTGGCCGCGCTCAGGCTGCAGGGCATACGTATTCTGAACTACATAGATGACTGGCTGATTCTAGCGGAGTCAGAACAGTTAGCGGTTCGGCATTGAGATGTCGTCTTCGCTCATATGCAAAGATTGGGGTTAAGGCTCAATGCCAAGAAGAGATCGAGTTGCGATCTCGACAGATGCTTCCCTCACCGGCTGGGGAGCGGTAATGGAAGGCCTCTCGGCACAGGGTCTGTGGAGGAGTCACCATCTCTCTTGGCACATAAATTGCCTGGAGATGATGGCTGTTTTCAATGCATTCAGACATTTCAGAATAAAGGAGCAGACATCCTGTCGAGGCAGGAGCTGAGGCCAGGGGACTGGAGACTCCACCCTGAGGCGGTGGGGCAAATATGGGAATTTTATGGCCAGGCAGAAGTGGATCTGTTCGTGTCATTTTTCTGTTAGCTTTTCCGTCCCTCAAAAGAGTCGGAGACCTTCAGGTCCTTTTGGTTTCTCCCACTTGCCTTGAGTTTGCATTGTATTGTGCTGCAGGCATTCTGTCCTCCTCCATTTACCTCTTCGGACCAGGAAAAGCTGAACCTTTTGGTTCATTGGACTTCTCCATGGAGGAAGTCTGATCAATTATTTGTCTGCTTTGGTTCACCAAAAAAAAGCTAAGCAGACAGTTAGTAAGTGGATAGTTGAGGCTATTTCTCTTGCTTACGAGTCCTCTGACCGGCCGTGCCCTTTGGTGGTCAGCTTATTACACTAAGAGTATGGCGGCCTCTAAAGCCTTATTATCTGGGGTTTCTCTTCAAGACGTTTGTGATGCAGCAGGCTGGTCCTCACCGCTCACATTTGTCAGGTTTTATAGCCTGGAACTGGATGCTGCCCCAGGGTCTATGGTACTCAGTGCTTAGTGGGTTTTTGACAACAGGCTCACACTCAGGCATTTGAAATGATGGCGTTTTGGGTATTCTCAGGTTACGACCGTAACCATAGTTCCCTGAGAGAGGGAACGAGACTATGCGTCGCCCTGCCATACTTCCTGCATCCCTGTAATCGGCTTGCTTCAGCAAATTTCGAAGCTAATGCCAGCTTGCACCGGATGCGCTTTTATCTCTTCCTGGTCATGACGTCACCCGCCTGTGACGTTCATTCCTTCCATAGGACTAGTTGACATAGATGCTTCAGATGCATTCACGCTGGGGGCGTTCCCAAATCGTTATCGACGCATAGCGAGTTCCCTTTCTCAGGGAACTATGGTTACAGTCGTAACCTGAGACGTTTTGTGGGGATGCTATGCCATGTGAATTCCCTCCTGATGATGTCCTATTTAGTAAACAGTAATCGATTCTGGAAAGTCACAAACAGCGAGGATCAGTCTCTCTTCCAATGATTTGTGCTGCAAAAAGATAGTTCAATTTCAGCAGCGAGCGGGCGTGTGTGTGAGGCGAGCACAACCGCGTCAGCCCCCTACAACGGGAACGGCCGCTTTTCGCTACTGTGCTTGACCACACACGACACTTGCTACTGAGCATAGACTGTTTATGCTGCTCCCTGATAAAAGAATAATGTTTCTGCTGATACCTGTTCAGAAACACCCCCCCCCCCCCCCCCCCCCCCAAGAAAACTGGACTGTGATGGTAACTTGTTTTAACAAGCTATAAAAGGTAATGCCCTGACAGTAGCAAATAGCTTTGGTTTTATATTTGATTTTATTACATTAAAGTTTAAGTTGAGATTTACAAGAAATATTTTATTGTTACTGTGTAAAGGGAATACTGCTGGTAAAAAGCACATTATTACACTACTTTAGAACTCATTATTTAATTTTGGGCATAACAATTCAATTAATCGCAAGAAAATCATGCGATTAATTGCGATTAAAAATTTTAATCGTTGCCCAGCACTAATAATTAGGCCTACATTTGTATATTTTTCATAGACCAGTTTTTTTGCGTCATCCAGCAAATGAGTGTATTCGTAAGTGTATGAATGTATCTTCTTCATCTATGTCTAAGGTCTTGTTAGTTTTCCCCCTGTGGACTCTTTTAATCATGTCCAACTGATGAATTTCTTATCTTGGCCATGAAATCCGAGAAAGGTTAGGAGAGGTCAGGACGCTCTTTTCCCACTGTCTTATTCCCCCATGTGACCAGACATTGATGGAGCGCATGAGCCACGTAATGGGTTTTTTTCTTACTCACCACCCTGAAACAAGAACTCAGCGGAGAATCGGGAGACGAGAACATAAAGTGGCAGCTCACAGGGCTTGAGGCTGGTTTAGGAGAGTGCTCTGTTACACCTGGCGGTTTAATACAGTCCGGTTTCATCTGAAGACATGGGCAAATGATCAAACTGCAGGTGAGAACTGGATACTTTTATATCAACAAACCTCCACCAAAATTCATGTGCAGTCATAACGGACAAGAATTTAGGATTTGTTTCTTACTTGTCCTACCTGCCAACTGTAGAAGAAACTGTTTAGGTTTTCAGCTTGAGATCCGTCAGGCAAAGGAAAATCATTCCCTGCCTCATTGTCATTAGTCCCTAACAGACCAGTGGACGTGCCTGTGTAGATAAAAACATGTTTTATGACATGTCTTTTAAAATAAATAACAAATCCAACTATGGATTTGTTTATCCCTAGTCTTACTGAATGTTACGTTTTCCTACCATGCAACCATCCATCAAGAGCGAAACTGCACACCTCAAGCAACAGGTCACATGAAACTGACGCTCCATTCTGACTGGACACCTGCACAATGTTTGACGCGCTTCTGACAGCCACTCCATAGTCAGTTTGAAATGTGTGCGTTACAGCGTTGTTGCAGCTGGCCTTCACCTAGACAAACCGAGACAAACTTTTACTTTATTTTTTCCAGACACGTTGAAAGAAGCCTGTCTGCTGCTGGGTTCATTTTGTTTTCTGACTAGACTGCTGGAACAGTCCACTCTCTTAGTTCATGTTTTTGGCACCATCATGAACACATACCTGTCCATTGTGCTGAATGTTGATGGTGTTGTTATTCATTCCTATTAGAAGGAGGTTGTGTGAGTCAGACCTGAGCACCAACGTGAATAACGGGTCAGCGCTGATGTCTTGAGCAAGCAGCAGCGGACAGGAGCTCGGGAGCTCATACAGGTGACCGTCAAATGTCACTACAAACTGATCCGCCACCAGCAGAGCTTGGTCTTATGGAGAGAAACAGAATGAGAAAGACATTTGATTAAGTCCTCCATTAAAGTTGCATCATGAGTATGCTGCGGAAAAACCTCGAGCTAGTCTTACGTATAAATGGGCTGTCCATGATCTTCCTTTTGAGGTGGTAGAGCTCAGCTATGGGTCTAACGGAGACGAGGGTTTGCAGGGGCCTCAGGAGCCACTCCTCCAGAAGGATCTCCACCAGTCCAGCCTCGGACACCCTGGACCAGTGAAGCAGTGGCAGCGGCACTGATGCAATCACTGAGCACTCACTGGAAAAACCAAGAACGCTCTCTTCTTAAATATCTTACTGGAATGTAGAACTTTAAAACTATATGTTTTTATAGCTTGTTGTTGATTTGCAAGCAGCTAGGTTAAAACTGGCCTATAATTAGTTCAGTAACTTTTATTGATTATGATTATGTCTCAAAGCTTAGTTAGGATCTGCTTCAAACTGAAATAAAGTCACTGAAATACTGTTGAGACAGTTATATGAAAACTAGACATTAAAAACACGTTCACGGGAGGGATGGGCATACTGTAACATAATAAAAAGTATGTCCTTTCTCTGACCCATTTATATAGTTTTATAAAAGGAATTACATAGAGAGCCTTTCTTCATGTAGGCCTCAGACATGTGCAGTACCTGGGGGAGAATTTGTAGACAGAGGCCAGTTGTTTCCTGACTCCAGACAGAGCCATTGCCAGCCTGGTCTCCACCCAGTGGTAGGTATGCTGACCTGCCTGATTCACACAGAACACCAACCAGAAACACATATTATAGAGCGTGTTTACAGGCATATTTGCCTACTGATTTTTATCATATTTGCGATAGATGGAACAAGACAAACCTGGATACTAACATTCCTGTAAATGTTTCCAACATAATTGCCCTGGCACCACTTGTTTGTCTTTAAATAATTTTACTATAGACTTTATAGAGTTTCCTCAACATTACTGGATCCAGCCTCTCCCTCTATTCTGCAATACCAAAGTCAGCCTTTCACTTTTATTTCAGCATGTAGATGCTGATCATCATATTTTATGTTTTACTGACTGATAATTAAGTATCCTGAAGTCATCCACGTTTTTGAAACCAGGATGTTTACATTGATACTAGGATACTCCAAACACCTAATCGTACCTGGGATAAAGATGTGTAAATAGACACACTTACAAAGTGCTTTAAATAAGCCAAAGAGAAATGACACAAAACTAGAAAAGGCACCAGTGTGTAGCTTTCTCACCACTTCCAGGGCGACGCTGAGTGTGGTGACACTGGCCTGAACCAGCGGCCTCAGCTGAGGATTATCCAACAGCACAGGTAGAACCTCCACCAGCCCGTCAGTCCACAATGAAACAGCCTCCCTCCACAACGCCTCTGGCCTCTGGCCCTTCACATCCTGGTACACACCTGCCAGAGTAGCAAGGGGCCCTGAGGAAGTACAACCCAGTGTCAGGGTTTGTTTTTTCACACTTCATGCATGAAGATGGCTACATAGCAGCAACAGAATTTCTCACACTGAAGTTATGAGAAACAAAACAGCAACACAAAGATTCTATCATAAATAATGATGTGAGAGAGAAGAGAGAGATTTTCAGGCTTCAGATAATGAAGTAAAGGAAGACAGGGTTAGCTTGTGAAGTTTCTTGAATAAATTAGATTTCTGCCTGTGAGAAAAGGCAGGGGCTGACTGTACCGCACTTACCCAAAAACTAAAGAGCATGTCTGTAAATTTACCGTTTGCACAGTACGCCATTCTGTCATTGTAGCCCATGCGCATGTAGTCTGTACCTTAAACAAAATCCCATCTTGGGACAATATAGGTTAAATGGTTATTTGAACTAAAAGTACCACAATATTTTTTTTAAGATATGACAAATAAAGATGTTGGCCAAACATGACAGCAGCAGAAGATACTATCTTCTGTCTCTGCTCTCTCATTCTCATCCAGTTTCCACAATTTTCATTAGTTTTGCCATTCAAGGCAGCAGCTGATATGACTGAACTCACTCCTCATTTCCTGTTGTCCCAGCAGGGAGGCGTGCTGCAGCAGGCCAAGAAAGCGAGGCAGGCTGCCTGTCACAATGCAACGCAGGGGGCTGTTCTGCCACAGCGCCAACAAACCCCTGTCTCTGTGCCCCAGCAGAGCCTCCACTCGCTGGGAAACATGAAGGGGCACAAAGCTCAGCTCCTGGAGCAACTCACTGTCTCTGGACTGCAGAGAGAATGTTGTGGAGAGAAGCAGTCGCCACATTAAATACTGCATGTAAACCTTGAAATAAAGCATGGACTATTACGTGCATTTGTTTATGTGAAGTGTGCTATAGTAGTTTGTGTGTACCTGTCGTTTGAATTCAACAAGGAGATGCGGAAATGTCTTGATTCTCTCCCACAGCTTATTCCGAAATTGAGAACATAAATATTGAATACGTGCCTGCGAAAACAACAGCATACATTGTTTCAAAGTGTATTTTAGTAAAACGTTCTACTACTTTCTGGCTACTGGTGATACCTCGACTGCAGTTAGACTTTCCAAACAGCCATTTGCTCTCAGAATCAGCCTCTGATTGGCAGATCCCACTGACACGCTGCCTAGAGTTTCAGGCTTGCTTCTGCCGTCTCTTTTCTGCACATCCAGCATCAAAGTGTGATTTGTTCCCACACATGCCACTATGGCGATGTCCTCGTTCAGACCTGGACCTGGACATAAACATATGGAATTCTTCATGATGATAGTTTGAATATTTTTGTAATTTTTGAAAGTTTTGCAGAGATGATTCTGTATTTACCGCTCATATGACCTGCTGTGACCTGAAGACATCGTCCCTCTGCCATCCCGTTCAGCCAGATCGTCTCCCTGCGGTCCAGTCTGGCTTGCACCTGAAGGCCAGACCCCCGGGGCCAAGACAGGGCACTGCCCCCCACCTCCACACTCCAATTTCCC